ACTAATGCTCTTAATTTTCAACTAAGACAAATGCCCAAATACTTGTCTAAAAAAAGACTTGTTCAAGTTTAATCAATATATCTTTCTTACAAAGTCATTAACAAACACCACATCCCTCATTCAATCATAATCAGGATTAAAATATTCCTAGATGCACCAAAAACTGGTACCAAACAAGTATTGCTCGATGGTTAATGACAACGATTTACGATAGTTTCGCCGTCAAACTTTTGCATATTAGTGTTAATTAACACGTATATACTAACCAACATTGACTGATTTTGGTGAGAGAAGTTAGGAAAATGTCCAGCACCTCTCCAAAGACCCTTGCCATACTACGAGCACGGTATAATCTTTTAGCAAGCACATCTCCGTGCGGCTGACTTTATAACCTAATCTCTCCCTTTCTCTTAAAAACTTTGTATATGGACATCTCAAGTCAATATAATAGATCTAAAGGTGAAGGTGAAGCTCTTGCAGTGCTTGAAAATAACTTGCCACTGGATCTGCCCCCTCCACGTCAGCGTTCGTGGTTGCAGTACTCTCTCCCCACAAATCTAGCTCTTTTTCCAAGTATGCCAGCCAATTCTCGCTCTCTTTCTCAGCGTCCTGATGATCCCGATGATCATTTGCGGCAGCAGCAGTATTGGCTGCAACATCTAAGTCATCATTGATCATATTCAAAATCTCAGGCTCGATCATAATCTCGGGCAAATCAGCTAGACTGTATTCATCTTTTAGTCCCACATCGGAAACAGAGCAATCCTGAAACACGTCCCAGAAGTCCAAGTTGGGCTCAACGGGTATCTCCACCTTGCTCGTCTCTTGATCCCTCATCTCGATCGACTCATTATTAGCTTCGACGGTCGTCTCGGCTCTCTCTTTATCTGTCTTGCTGCTGCCTTCGTCCGAGCACGATACAGAGGCGGTAGTAACCGACGACGGAGAGCTTGGATCTTCCTCGAGCTTCTGCTGAGATTTTCTATCCTTCGGTGTCAATCTTTTCTTCAAATGAGTATTCCATACGTTCTTGATCTCGTTATCAGTTCTTCCCGGCAGGCACGACGCAATCTTAGACCATCTACAAATCAATTTAAAACATACTGATCGATTAACATAACAATCGCAACAATCTCTACACAGCTATAGAGTTAATGAGAGAAATTCTTAGTTGCTTACTTGTTTCCGAGCACCCCGTGAAGCTTGATGATGGTATCCTCCTCCTCTTCAGTAAAATTCCCGCGCTTTATATCAGGCCGGAGGTAATTGATCCACCTCAGTCTGCAACTCTTCCCACATCTCAGGAGACCTGTAATTGAGTTAATTAGTGTAAGCATCATTAACACATAAGATGACTGTAGCCATGCACACTTAAATAATGGATTAATTACCTGCAAGCCTTGGGAGAGCTCGCCAGTTTCCATGGCCATACTTGTGAATATAGGTGATGAGTCGCATATCCTCCTCCGGCGTCCAAGAGCCCTTGTTGAGGCCCACTTTCGCGCAGCAAGGAGCCCGGCCTCTGCCCATTTTAATTTTAATGATGCTACTACTAAGTAGAAGGACTTGTCACCAATTCTAGCTGTAAAATTGAGGACCCTGAGAGTTTATATAGAGGGAGCCAAAAGATTTTGGTTAGATGATAAAGGGTAGCGTCACCAGGAGCTGGGCCTACTCTCTCAATGTAGATTCTCTCTTACCAAACTCTCATAAACAAAGAACCATCCTGTGTATACTTCGATATTAAAACGTGGCACCTCTATATATAGGACTAAAAACAGGCAAAAATTGGTGGAAAGATCAGAGTAAATTGTACCAAATTTGAAAAAATGGTGCAGATTCTTGAATGGTCCAATCAGAGATTGTTGCTGTTGGATCATGATTGGATGGTTGATTAGGACTCCTCACTAATTCACTTTGATGCTTGGAATGATTACATAATTACTCCTTAATTTATCGTCACCGACTTGTCATTAACCGGGAAAATTAAAAACTTAGACGGAAACAATTAAGTAAAACATGGCTTAAAATTTTTCATTTTTGCTGTAGTGGTTGTTTTAAGAGGATAAGCAATCTACTTTATAATTGATATTATGCATTTCCAATAAAAAGGGACCTGAATATGTTCCCAGGGTCAGGCTGTGCCTTGCGTGGGCCTGCTGGAGGTCCCATAAATTCTAAGTGTTGGTTATACTTAACCTAATCCAAAGATAATTAGACACAAATTTGTTCATCAAGATTACAATTGTTCAGCTAATGTGAAACGTCCTGTAGATATTTGTCTCAGGATGAAAATGTCTTTCTCCACCTATCAAAAAGGTGTTTGGTTTGTTCATGTCATAATCAGTAGAGGAATACGGAGGGAGAAAATTTGCAAAAAATAAAAAAGCTTTCTATAGTCAACACGTACGTATTGGTTTGAACGTAAAAGCCTACCTATTAATTGCTACTTTGAGATTGGCATAAATGACATAAATTTGGCAGGCATTTATCGGTTTTTCTTGAGGCAGATAAAGTTTGACTGATTGATCATCTCCTATAATTCAAATTTATGATGATTATTCATCAGTCATCAATTACTGAAAATTGATTTACATGGACTCAGAAATAATTAGTTATATAACTTGCAATATGGAGCAATATTGGTGAACTAGGATCTACATTTGTGGAATACAGGTCAATTTCAGGCAAGTTTGTTAATTTTGCTATAATTATCAGTTAAACTTAGGCGTAATATACCCACATTTTCGCGCAGAATTAGTCATATTTACCAGCGAAAAAAAAAAAATGCATGAGATGTGACAAAAATATCCAAAAAGCAACATTTGTTGCCATGCTTACCAAACCTTGTCAAGCTCTGCTTGCGTGACTTGTCTAAGCTCTATGCTTCATGTACAATAGCAATTAATTAAGCTAAAGCAATCGCCTAAATTAAAAACTTTTTATTTAATCATAGTTTAATACTGCCTAAAACACAACACGAATGCGTATGCGTCATCAACTTGAGTCCTATGTTTTAGGTCACCAGCTTGAAATCCCCTCTATCATCATCTCAATGAGAGGAGAACTTTAAGCTTAAACAACCTATATAGCTTAAATAGCTATATTCTACATAAAAAGAATTTAAATAACTATATTATCTCCACAGTTGGTCTTTGAGTTAGGGTAACAAACCACTTAAATGGCCAATTGCCTCACCATTACCTAACCTTTTGACACGTGTCTTAGCTTAAATGAAGCTTGAGTTGAGATTGAGTTGCTCTTTGTGGACTTTGGGCACCTACAGACTTTATGCATAGCTTGGAATTTTTGCTGGTTTCAATCTAAGTTCTTGACTCCTGTTTGGGTGTGTTCTCACCAACAAGTCACTAAACTTTTAGCTACCCATTCCGTCCTTGCATAGTCACTGCAACAGTATACTGAGATCATAAAGAATTCCTTTTAAAGTCTTTTTCACCGTGCCAAAATGTTATGCGAGTACTTGAAGGTTATATTTTGTAATCTAACATAAAATCCCTCGATACTACGTACTTTTTTTCTTCTTAAGATCTATTGTAAATACATTGCTGGTGGGAATTGAATTTAGATCGCTCTGATAATGTTAGGAAATCAGATACGTTCTGATATCCGTTGTTAGGGATTCAAGCTACTCGACCACCTGTCAAATATGAACCCACTGCGGAATTTGCCCTACCGGATCTTGCGTTAAACAATGGAAAAAAGAAATCACAACAAATCAAAAATAATTACAAGAACAGAGATTACCGAGTTTAATGAGTTTCGGAAACTTGCCTACGACCTCAGGAGCCACACAAATAATTTCCTTTATATTAAAGAAGATTACAAAGCTTGTATAAGAGCAGATCTCAACTTGAGATCTCTCAAGAGAAGAACCAACAGAAACTCAGTTGTTCAAATAAAAGGCGCGAGATATTACAACAGTAAAATCTCCTCTCTCTCTCTCTCTCTCTCTCTCTCTCTCTCTCTCTCTCCCCCAATAAATCGCTACAGGACTTCACAAATAAATGAGCATGATTTTCCTCTGAAAATCTTAGGCTCAAATTAATGGACTTCACAAATAAACGAGCATGATTTTCCTCTGAAAATCTTAGGCTCAAATTAATGGCCGCCGCCAGGAGTTTAACGCTTTGAAGAAGAAAATTGCGCCTGCAAAGTTCTCTCGTGCATAGGGTTTCCTTAAATAAGGAAACCCTAGCCAAACAGCTGGATCCAGCTATTCCCAACCAACGCAGGCGAAAGGGGGAAACATTGAACTCGTTCGCATCAAGGCTCGCCTGTAGGGCCGTTCGAAACTCGCCTGAAGGAAACACCCGAGCTCGCCTATTTTCTCTTCGAGCTCGCCTTCGCTTGGGACCTCGCCTTCGCTCGCGACCTCGCCTTCGCTCGCGACCTCACCTGTACGTGGGACCCACTCGAGTTCAAGTCCGCCTGCAACCAAAACTCCGCCTGCAGCCCTTCACGAGCTCACCATTCAGCTCTGCCTGTAGCTTCGACTTCGCCTGTCGACTTCAGATCTCGCCACCAAATCTCGAGGTCGCCTGCAACACCGCCTCGCCAGAGTGGGTCTCGATCTCGCCTGAAGGTCGCGACGTCGACCTCGAGCTCGCCTGAGCTCACCGCTGCTGACAGGTATGGATCTACACCTAATTTCTAACAATCTACCTCTTGGAGACCAAACCGCCATCATCAAGCTCTCTCTTAACAAGCATCTTCTCCTGCGTGGCTCCGCCCTCATCTCTTACATATGAAGGCCAACTGAATTTGCGCACAACTCCAGTTTCTGAATGATGACTGCCTTAGTCAACATATCTGCAGGATTTTGACTCCCCAAAATATTTTCCAACTGTAACTTCCCGTCCTCAATTATCGAGCGTATGAAGTGGTAGCATAACTCGATGTGCTTCGTTCTGGCATAAAATATTGGGTTCTTGGCAAGGTGTATAGCACTCTGGCTATCACAATAAAGAACTTCGTTCCCCCGCTTCAGACCCAACTCTTTCGGGCACCCGGTTAACCAAATCATCTCCTTGCTCGCCTTGGTTACTGTGACATACTCTGCCTCAGTTGTAGACAACGTCATAATCTTCTGCAAACGTGAGACCCAACTCACTGTTGTCGACCCTAAGGTAAAAACATACCCCGTGGTGCTTTGCCTCGTATCATGATCACTGGTAAAATCTGCATCCACGTATCCCTGTAGTACCAACTCCTTTCTCCCAAAACACAGTGACATATTCGTAGTCCCTCTCAGATGTCGTAATATCCATTTCACGGTCTCCCAATGTTGCTTCCCTAGGTTGCTTGCAAACCTGCTCATAACTCCCACTGCATAGGAAATATCTGATCTCGTGCAAACCATTGCGTATATCAGACTACCAATGACTGATGAATACGACACCTTCCTCATGTGCTCCTTCTCTGCATCAGTCTTGGGTGATTGTTCACCAGATAACTTGAACTGGCTTCCAAGGGGCGTGCTAACGACCTTAGCATTCTGCATGTTGAATCTCTAAAGTACTTTCTCAATGTATTCAGACTGACTTAACTTTAACATCCCCTCAGCCGCATCCCGGCTGATCCGCATCCCAAGAATATGCTTCGCAGCACCCAGATCCTTCATGGCAAACTCCTTCGCTAACTGCTTCTTCAGCTTGTTTATCTCCTGTAAACATGATCGTGAAACCAACATGTCATCAACATACAACAATAACATGATATAGCTGGACTCGAACCTCTTGAAGTAACAACAATGATCTAACTTATATCTGCCATAGTCATTGCTCTGCATGAAGTTATCGAACTTCTTATACCACTCCCGTGGATCCTGTTTCAATCCGTATAAGCTCTTCTTGAGCCTACACACCATCTCTTTCTTTCCTTCCTTAATGAAGCCAACATGTTGCTTCATGTAGATTTTTTCATCCAAGTCACCATGAAGAAAGATAGTCTTCACATCTAACTGCTCAAGGTAGGGATTTTTAGCAGCTACCAAGCTCAACACCACCCTGATGGTTGTGAGCTTCACAACGGAGGAAAATATCTCCGTATAATCCACTCCTTCTTGCTGTTGGAACTCCTTCACGACTAATCTGGCATTGTATCTCTTCCTTCCATCACTCTCCTGCTTGACTCGGTAAACCCACTTGTTATGTAAGACCTTCTTCTATGGAGGTAGCTAGGCTAACTCCCATGTCTCATTCGAGTGGAGAGAACTCATCTCTTCTTGTATTGCATGCTCCCACTGCTGAGATTCGCTCACTTGCATAGCCTCCTCATAGCATTCGCTGAGATTCGCTCACTTGCATAGCCTCCTCATAGCATTCTGGTTCTCCGCTATCTGTCAAAAGTAGGTAGTCTAGTGACTCATAGCATTCTGGTTCTCCGCTATCTGTCAAAAGTAGGTAGTCTAGTGACGAGAGATACCTGAGATTCAGTTTGGGTACCCTGGATGACCTCCTAAGCTCCTCGCCCTGGGTAGTTAGTTCTGCACCTGGAGTCTCCTCCATTCTTTGGTTAGAATTGACGTTGTCTCCCCCATATAGAAGTTCCTCCAAATCCATGTACTCGGATGCACCCGCATCTGTAGTGCTGCTCTCACTGCTTTGGCCCGCCTTGGCATTATCCCTGTCCTTATACAT